TACTTACATGAAAATGATCGAGAAATAAAGAGGTTGAAATTAACTACAACACATTAGTTCAAATTTTCCTGTGCAGAATAAATCAGAAAATCGGTAGTTCTCGACAAAGATTATCCTTGTATGGAGCTCCTCCTTATCAGAGCATACCACGATCTCATGACAAGTCGGATCCAGGACCATGAGGTCTCGCGACAAGCCCTTAACCTTCAGATCCCCGGAGTCATAACCAAATGGTTTACACTTCCAACCTTAGTCAATTAGTGTTATTGTATAGTCTGAATCAAACGCCACATGATGGGTTACTATCTCACTATCTAAATGATTGAACTCCATTGTTCATGGCTTTTCGCTATTTATTGCCCTCTGTACGGTTATCTGTTAATGTGAATTTGTAATAAATAGTACTAAAAATAAAAAAATGTATAGGCAAATATATTTCAACTGTGTGAATGATAGTCAAGTACTAAAGGATGGTATGGAAGAAAAATTTCAATTCATTACATAAAAAGACAAAAATGGTATGTCAATTATTTGCCACGTATATGTATATGTACTCAGGCTTTGGGCCAAATTTTAGATGTAGAAGTTCAAATCGAAGTAGGTGAATTAGAATTTCAACACCAAATGATTTAGACCAAAAATGTTCTCAAAAAATAACCTCTGCTAAATCCAAAAACTTGTTTACTAATAGATCTGAACATATACAGTTTGAATCAATGATGAGAAGAATAGTTTTGATGGAATTTATTTCTCCGAGCTGAGTAGTAGTGATGAGATCGATTCAGCTATAATGAAAGCCAGAGCGGTTTATGCCAATCTTGGACATTTTTAGGGCCTTTGTGATGTCAGTCTGGCTGTAAAATGTCGGATCTACAACGCGTCGGTGAGAGCAGTTTTGCTCAGTGCATGTGAAATTTGGCCTCTCTGAGATGAAGACGTTAGACGACTCTCTGTGTTTGATCACCGCTGTCTCCGAAAGATTGCTGACATCCAGTGGAAACACCATGTCAGTAATGCAGAGGTTCGGTATCGTGTATTCGGACGCAGAGACGATAATGCGATTGGTGTCACCATCATGAAACATCAATTTCGGTGGCTTGGACATGTTCTACGAATGTCGTCCCAGAGAATTCCATGTCATGCATTACTTGCCGAATCTGGGACTGGTTGGAAAAGGCGGAGGTGGTCAGTGTATGACATGGTGTCGTGGTATGAAAGAAAGCTGCAAAGGGCTGGCTTCTGTTGGTCCTTCACAATTCCTTGGCTGGAATCCGCGAGACGGTGCAACACAGTGGCTGGAGACGTTATCAGACATGATTCAGTATAGAAACCAGTGGCGATCCTGCTGTAACCTTCTTTTACTTTCTTCATAAAAAGTGGTTGTAACTTCCTTAACTGAAAGAATTCTGGTTGTACCTTTCCGTTTCTCCCATTATTATTACTATTACTCACTAACATACGCTAAACCGTGGTCGTTATTGTTTTATTTTCTTATACGCTCCTTATCTTTTTTCTCTCTTCCCATTCTCATTGTTTTGTGTGGCGCATATATATCTAGTGCCCCCTTGTAATAATATTTGTGTTCAAATAAGCAATAAATAAAATAAAGAATACTTTTGATGGAATTTGATTTCTCCGAGCTGAGTAATTTATTTGTGAAGCTTTCATTGTCCTTTTGGACAAAATCACCAGCGCAAACCTCAGGTAGAAGGTGATTTATCCATTTTTTTCCCACATATAACTCAAAGTTTGTACTTTTGATCAGTCAAAATCAAGATCAACAAAACAGGTTGTCGGTTATACGTAGCGAAATGTGAATAGTTTACTCCTATCTGAGGTCTGTGTTAATTTTGTTTACGAAGACGACCAAAGTCTCACGATTAAACTCTCCTAAAACCATCAACTAGAGCTACAAACGCTCTTCACCATCTTCAGAAGAAAAGTAATAAGCACTACGAAGTAGTATTCGAAAGTTTAGGCAAAACAAAAAAAAAACACAATGTACTTCTAACGAATGACTCTTAAGGTTTCATAAGAATTATTTTGTAATATCATACAAGATTAAAATAAATTTTCACTTGTTAAAAAGAATCAACCATCATTAAACATTTACATAATAAATACACGTGTCAGTTAATGAACTCTAATGAATCACTTAAACAAAAATGTAGCATTTTTCACATGTGGTTGCTATAGAATATTTTGTTGTTGTTTTTTTTATTGACAGAAAATGTAAAACATGTACTCACTCAATCAAATCATACTTAGATACAAGATTAATTTGAAATTCATACTATTTTAATCGGTTACAAATCCTCGTATACATCTGACATGATTACAGTAGCCTTATCAGCTTTTTATTATAGAAATATATGTCATATTTTAAATACAAAGTATCTTAGATACTAATATGTATGTGTTTATAATTTGTAATAATCAACAGGTACATAAGAAAACTGATGTGAAAGAAAATAGTTTCTTAAAAAAACAGTTAAAAATTGAAATGAGTAAATTACTCTATTTTATACCTTTTTTATATCATTTACGTAATCATATGAATTATCAATTAGGTACTGTAAACCGTTTGTAACCATTTATAGAGTAGATTTACTAAATTGTGATTATAAATGTTTATAAAGCATTGATTGTGTATAACTGAATAAAGAAGTGACATATTATTAAAGTTTTAGTGTGAATATTGTAAATAGATTAAACAAGTTGTGAATATCCATCAACTGAAATGATCGGGATACATGCTACATATATATTCATCTGCCATGTATCTCAACACATGATTCTGTTTGACATAGAAGAGTGCATTGTAATAAAACTAAAAGGTGACCAAAAAACTAAGATAAACAATCAATCTATGAGATCATTGACCGGTTGATCAAATCTAATATTGATAGATGCAGATCTACTGGCTAAAGTTAGAGTGATAATCCCGATTCATTTTTGGAAAGATAGGGGACTTAAAATTAATTCTAGTTGCTCAGATACATTTTTATTCGTTATCTAATTTTAAGTCTTTAGCCTTGATATTACATCATACTAATTATTCCCTAATTTTATTCATTCTCTTGGAATAACATCTTTTTTGCATTTGGTTCCTTTTATCATAATAAATGTCAGTCAGTCAGTCAGCTACAAAGTAGGACCAGGCACATATATACATCGGTCCAAGTTGCCATACCTCATTAACACAACAAGATGAACACCAGATTCATAAAAGTAGTTAATTCAGTTGTGGTAATATATAAAAGAAAGATTGCAATAAGGATATAGTACAGGAATAAAGAATTAGTTCGTAGAAAGAAAGATATGAAGCGATTTAATCTCTTAGTTTAAGGGAAGACAGAGAGTGTATACACCGACGCCATTGTGATCGATTCTGAGCCATGTCACCAAGAGTCTCCAACCATTGGTTACGAAAGTCACGCGGACCCCAACCAAGTAGTCTGCATCTACCAACATGGCTCAGACTAGAGGTTAGTGTCTTCAAGCACTGATGCCGCGTTTTGGTTCGGCCGCCCCTAACTTTCTTCCAACCATCTCCAACACCGGCTAGCATTGCACTTCGTGGTCATCGGTGTTCAGGCATACGTAACACGTGGCCCAACCATCTCAGTCGATGAAGCCATCACTACCTAAGACCTTGCGTTTAACCTCGCTATTACTTACCCGGTGATCCCAGCAGACGCCAGCAATATTTCTAAGGCATCTGTAGTCAAATACTAGTAGCTTACGATTATCTTCTACTCTTAATGGCCATATTTCGCTGTCGTAAATTAAAACAGAACAGACTATCATAATAAATATTACTATTTCTATTTGTCTTGTTGAGATGATGTGACAACTTTACTCAATATCAACTCAATCACGCGTTGATCGTCAGTGCTTTCCAAGATACATTAAAGAAGTATTTTACAAAACATTATAGAACGAAATTTTATGTATATGAAAACTTAAATGACCTTTGTAAGCGTCTAGCAGAATATTTACCAAAAAAATATCACGAACATAATTTCTTTTACAAAAATATGGTCATATGTTGCTCGTAATAGTTGATAAACATTCAGTTTTAACAGAGATTCAACAACGAACGATTAAAAGTACTGATACCTCACTCATTTAATCACATACTAAATACTGAATAATGTACTACGCTTTGGGGCATATTTGTGTATGTGTGTATATGATAGCTAATGATACTATCAGGCTAACTGTACCGCAGTAGCTGTAACGGTGTCTTAGTGGTTAAGACGTTCGACTTTCAGTCATTGTTCCAGGTTCAAACCCTGCCCCACAAATACTAGTTTGAGTAAACGAGACACTTAGAGCGTGACTCATAACCAAGTACTTGGTGAATGAGTTAATCATAATTATATTTGCAATTATAATAGCTGAAACGGGGTTTAAATTTATGATATACATGTTGAAAACCAACAGAATCGGTTAAAACAGCGTAGGTCACACTAACTCTTTGTCTTCCATTATATCTTGAGTCTTAAAATTATCTGATACTTGTTATTTCACGAACTTAATTGTTTTTACCAGCACTGATACTGTAATTGTTACAATTATTCTGGCATTTTCTCTTGTTTTGTTGATATGATGTGGCAGCCACGAACCGACTCACGCATGATATACGTCAGGCTCTGCGCTACTTCTGTCTAGCTAATTAAAATCACTACTTTCTAGTACTACTAAGAAGTAATACACATTTGAATAGACATAGATTATCATAACTTAGTAACCTAATCATTCACAATTTAAAGATCCAAGTGAAATGTGTTGAAGTTGAGATAAAGCATTCCAGGCAGAATATTCATACTATTACCAAATTAGTTAGTCTATAGACAGAACTATACGTGTCAAATGAATTGACCCACCAAACATATAACTCTTCCCGCTAGGGGAAAAATACGGCAACGTAGAGAAAATAATAGAGATATCCTTCACCACTCCCTTTAAATATATGAACAAAAATAAGAACTAACTCTGATTAACTCCATCCAAAGATCCAGTTCGTGTAACAGTCAATGCGCCAATTGGATCGTTTTTAATGGATCGATGAGAGAAGCACTTTAGTAGATTTCTTGTTAAACTACCAGATCTCTTCTTCTTGGTATCTATTCAAACCAATCAAAAATTGTCAAATAAGAGGTGATTTTTAGTAACCAAACTGAACTAAATGTATGGATATACATATGACGAAATATATTGCTGAGAAGAGCTCAGATTATTTAGATTTTAGTTAACATAAGACAGAATCAATCTGGTAAAAGTGACCGTAATACCATTTTCTGAACTCATATTTTCGCCATGACTTGCAATGTTATCTGAATGGGTCTTATAACTTTTAGTTTTCTAATCTTTCGTCCCAAAGACATTTCACATTACTCTACATAAACAGGATTGTTTCATTTCAATCTTAAATTTTTGACTTCTGGAATATCAAGCTTTACCAGTACGGGGAAGTGAGGATGGTTAAGTTTAATTGAGATCATCAACAAATGAAATTGAGACAAAGATTAAAAGCCTGAAAGCACTGGACGACTGTTTTGTCCTAGTATTTGACTCCTCAACATTACGCGTCCACGACCCCGCAGCCACGAATCGAGTCCAGGACCTGCAGCCTCGAGCGTGAATGCTTAACCGCCATACCACCGAGCCGGCATCCAACGGCGCTAATGTCTAACATCAGTCAATCCATAACATTGCGTGATCATTTTTCATTGTTTTCAATGACTACATGCCTCATACCCAACACGGATTAGCTTCACTGGTCACGGTCCGAGAATTATCTCTCGAAGCTAGTCAATAGTGAGCCTATATATACTGTCCAGTTCAAATTCCATTCTATTCATATTGAAAGAATATTAGACATTCGTAGTTAGAAATTGCCGCAACTCGATCTCAGGTTATAACAAATACAGAACATATGTAATAATACTGAGCTCCATAATAAAAACTGTGATAGTGAATGACGAAGCATATCCATAGATCCAGTCAGATCCGACACGTACAAATTTATTATTTCCAGATAACATGATAGACAAGGCTTCAATTATTTTCAGTCATAACAACTATATTCACATAACAAGAAGAATCGATCTATCGAGATTCATTAGCTAAAAATCCACCTGATTGATCGAGTTTCTAATCCAACATTTCACGACCGCTATAAAATTTGAGTCAAAGAATGATTCTATGGGAAACAGAATGAGTTCACTAACAACTTCACCGTACAAGATGAACATACATATCATGGTGAATAGTTAGAGGTAGCAAATACGATGTATAGCGGGATTGTTGTGACATTAAAATTATTGGTAAACGGGTTGGATTCTAAAGTTAACGACACAAGTAACTGTGCCATATACTATTATTATCAATAGTTTCTTAGTGCGTGATAATATCGCAACTGTTATAGCATAAATTCCAACAATATAGTACTTATAATTACGTAAAGAACAGTATACAAAATTAAAAGAAACAACTTGTGGAATGAATGTATCGAAGATAACACTTGGCACAACACATAATTTAAATCTGAGCACTTATATTAATAAATTACAATATTCTAAACACAAGCACAACCAAACAAAACAATTTAATACATTTGTGAGATTTGAGTGAATCGTCAAGTTGTTGATGTTGAGGGCTGCAATCGATCAGTATAATTCGGAATAATTACTGTTTCTATAGTCTCATTACATCATAAGAATTTTAAGCACAGTTGAACACTGGTTAGCAGTCGAATCTGAGACCAGCGTTCCGTCCCATTTAAGGCTTATCGACTGGATGTAACTGCACTTCAGTGTTGATGTTCACAATGGGACACGTGACCCAGTGACTTTCGCTCCGAATGCCCGACACATTCATAACTGATTGATCAGTGGGTGGTGATCAATGTCATGTGACCATGTTGCAATGTGGCCACCAGTCTAGGTGGCTCGACACTGCGTGTACTATTGTGAGATTAGTGCACTGACTGTGAAGCTGGGTGACACGAGATCGAATCCGTCAGGAAGCACCAGTTCCCTCAAGATTACAGGTAAACCTTGCTGAGTTCCAAGTAGCACGAAACCTGGGTTCAGGGTTTCCTGTCGACTACCTCCAACCACCACCTAAGCCCGACGCATTAGCAGGTTAACCACTGAGTTCACTAGCTTTTAAAACAGAATATGTTTAATTCATTTGCAAAGAGTGTTTGATTGCTTTCAACGTCGGTCTTAAAATTTAGAATTCAAAAAGGTTTTCTGACAGTCTTATCAAACAAATTGACAATTTAAATATGAACTAATTCCCGCCATTTGTGACTACCAGTTTACATGTACACATTAATGTGCATATATTGGTGAAAGAGAAAAGAGGGCTAGCGTTCACAGCTCCAAACTCATTGTAAAATGACTGAAATTAGAAGGACAGCGTACTTTCAAAAGTCCAAATGCTCACCATTTGCATAGCAATGAACATGATGTTGACGTTTCTAAATCTTTCAAGATAATCAATAAACAGAGAACTTTAAACCTCCTAAGTTTAGCTGAAACTAATCCTATAAAAAGATTTGCACTTTACGTTTGTGATGCTGATATCACTCAGAAGAACGATGAAAGTGCCACGACCAAACCCCATCAAAATCATCCACCTGAGCTACAAACCTTCTCCACCATCTCATTTACACCAAATTTCTGCAGACAAAAGGACACAGCTATCAATCTGGCTTTACCATTATGACTTTAACTTTCAGAGTTTGTTAGGTGACATTTTTCTCACGAACCCAATTAGTTTTTTATTTCTAGATTTTGACTTGAGCTTTACTCAGTCATATCTTTAAGTGTTACATAACACTGTCCCCAAATGCCCTGGTACGGCCGAGAGTGGGAAGAGTCCGCTCACTCTCTACAAATGCTCTCACATGACCACGCGTATATAACCTCTGCCAAGGAAGTCCTACTCACTGCCTTCTCGTGGCTAGGGTGTCGTTTACAAAATTGAGAAGACGAAAATCGAATGTCCGGCGCTTTAACCAGGTTGGTGAACATAGAGAGTCCATCTAGGGGAGTTGGAAAACCCTGATTCCAAGCCAATTTTCCACATGGGCAACAGTATCCTGAGGGAACAAATGACGTACGAACCAATCGTTGGTCACCGCCTACCAAGGGACTGCATCTCCTTACGATGCTCCACTGCCTTGTGGATCAGACCTTTAGGTCGAAGGCTCCGGGTGTGGCCTCCTAAGAAGACCACCTGCTTCGGTTTGGGCACCCGAATAGTATCACAGCCCTCAAACAAATCTAATGAGATTTGTATGGCGCATATGTATCTGGTGCCCCCTTGAATCAATATCAGTGTTCAAATAATAAATAAAATAAATACATAACACTACATGACATTATTCTTCCACCTGCGAAAACCTTGTTTCCATGCTCTTCTTGGTGTTCGCTTACAAAATATATACGGATTTTACACGCGAATAAATAAGACAGGTTCTGAATTATCCCGTTATTTACATTCTTGACTAAATCTTAACCAGTCTTTGTTGGTATATGTAGATTATTTCGATATAGACATTTTGTCACAATTATTAAAGAACTAAATATTAACAACGAAATATTATGAACTCTTTCCAATTACGATATAAACATTATACCCGTTACGCAAATTAGTGGACATCTGGACTCAGTATCTTAGTTGATTCTTTGAAGCAAAAGATACGGAGTCCGAGTCACGATATGAATACCGACACTGAGATGCAAGTATATCAAGTTGGCAAGTCTCAAATGAGACGGGACGCGAATTGTGGATCCCACTGCTAGCTACAATCCATCCACTATGAACAATTATTTTAATCCACCGACAGCCATTGTATTTTATCAATCTACATCTACATGTCACATTTAACCTCAATCAAAACTTTTCTGATATGAAGTATGCACAGTTGTTTTGGTTGTTAAATGATTAATATCACCGTTTCTTTGTTAAAAGCAGTCGAAGGGAATCGACAAAATAAATGAATTCATATTATTATGATGGTTCGGCTACTATTGTTTTTCTTACGTATAAAGGGAAGGTATCCATTCAATAAGGTGTGAGCAAAAGAGTGAGTCGAAAACGACCAAAGGATATCTAACAAAATCTTATTTTGTTGGGAATCCAACACATACAAACATACCTTTAAAGTGATTAACCCCCAGCTGTTCGAAATAAACGTATGAAATAAAACGACTGGGGTAACAAGAATAAAAAATTGTCACCGAACTTGAAAAATTAGTGTTTTTTGACATTAGACTCTCCATTAGACGTTGAGAAAACTACACTTTCGATTAGCCGTAGAATAAAAAACCAATACGTTTCATGTCCACAAAAGTTTTATTTCGCATTTCACTATTCACTTTTATTTTTTAAAAATGTAGCACTTTTATGGTCACCGTTTTGTTCGTGCTCTTATTAGTGAGAACCTAGAGGGAAAACTAGCGGTATAGAATCAACTAACTTATTGAATTAACATCACCATCATAGCTATTATTATTTCATACAACTTACCAGTACCAGTTGAATTAGATACAATAGGCATATCCATAGGTGTATTATTTCTTATATTCATATCAAGAGAATTATTTCTTAACGTTTCACTGCTATTCGAACTGATACCAGCATCCACAGATATATTATTATTATAAGTAGTAGTTGTAGCACAATTATTGTTATTATTTGTAGTAAAATCATTGTTACCAATATCCCAGGGGGATTGATTCATTATTCCTGAATTCGAAACACATGATGATGTGTTACTGTCTTTGGTGTTGTTAATACTAGTAGTATGCGGATAAGATGTTGAACCAATCACAGTGACTTTACCAACAAAATTCACACGTTTTAATCGTGTTCTCTGCCGTCTTTCGATACGTTGACAACTAGGAACTATTCCAAGTCCGGTAGTAGATGAAAGTAATGTAGATGTTTGTGTATTACTATTAATAGTATTATTATTAGTATTATCTGTTGTTGAATGCATCGAATTTACATGAGCAGCATTTTCAAAATCGGATACTAAAGAAATTCGTTTAGCTTGCCACCATTCACGATCACTAGCATTAACAACGTGTAAAATATCCCCATGTTGAAACGGTAAACCCTGTTTATTTTTTCAAAACACAAGCAACAAGATATGTAAGCGAATGTAAATCACAGAGTTATAATAAGAAAACAATAGTTTAAGAGCATATATGTGGAAAGGATGAAAGACCAGATCATTATAGCACTGTAGTAGTAGGAATCCCTCTACAGGTGTATTTCAACATATTTAAGGTACACTAATTCAATGTACCTGTATCAGTATTTGTCACCTTTCCAATCGAGAACGTAAACCAATACCCCCTGTACAGAAAGAGTACTAACCCATGATAGCTACCTAGAGTATAGTGATTATCGGTTCTAATATTATCAATCAGCTTGCTGAATTGATCCGGTACCTGATTTGTTTCTCAGTGGATGTTCTCAAAGAACTGATGTCAGGTACACGAAAAAGTGACAGTTTAGAAAATAACTTTATGGAAATTTTTTTAAACACTAACTGCACTGATTTATACAAACAACGTAAATACAAATTATGTATTACTACAGTTGAAGCAGATATTAATTCAGGAGGTTTGCTTGCTGATAGTCAACAGTATACCAAGATTAGAAAAGTGGTTTGTTTTACTGCTGAACATTTCCCACACTAACAAATCTATAATCTGAACATATCAAGAAAAAGTTTGATTGTGAATAGGATGTGCTCTAATGCTTATAGACATCATGTGGGCGGTTTTCAATTCCTGATCATAGAAGAATACTATTTTCTTGAGAGATCTGACAGTACAAAAGTGATCATTGACTAATCGAAATAAAATATTAACTCCATATTTAAATTTCTGAGTCAGGATGACAAACGTGAATAAACTAATGATTTGTGTACCTAATTATTTAGTCTTGCCAATTACAGCTTCCTACTTATTCATTCGTTCACTCACCCGATAGCTGGTTCGAAAAGTGTACAGGGAGTGTGTATCTGAAATAGAAGTCGCAAATGGTAACAGACACTTCCATTCCACATAGTCGGATATGGGGATTTTGAAAAATTTAATAACTTAAAAAAACCTCCAGTTCAATGTACCACTATAAGCTTGTTTATCAATATATTACTTAACAACCAGACAGTAGTTCAAACTTTAGAATTTGATTCATAGGTGAAATTCACAAAAACAAAAATTGAAGTTAACATTCTGTATGCTTTTGGAATCCAATTTCTACTTATATTCATTGCACAATATATATATAATACTTTCCAATATATAAAAGTGCATACACATTATCGACGCACCCTAAATTCTCAATATTGTACATTATAAGAATCCGGTAACACAATTATAGATTAGACAATGATTCGTGGTTTAAGTCAGGATTAGATTTCAATGTTACATATTTGTCCGCGTGTAACTTATACTATGTTCCAAACCAACAATACGGTATACATACAATACTTCAAAAATAAATGTATATAGAAATAGCTACACATACCGATCCTAATTATATTCAATCACTAATTGGACCATATAACAATGTAAAAAAATTTTTTGAAAGTTTGGTTATGTATTGTGAGATCCAGCTAATTACCGTACGTCAGGATTAATTAGAAGTTATAAAAGTTATATATATCAAATGATTTCATTGAGTGATAGCTTTTCGCGATAAAATTACTCGATTTACAACCGTTATAAAATCAGAGATTCGATCATCACATAATATTCTTTGGCAGGATTCAGGTAATCGGGGTAACATTATGATGTATGTTACTTATGTCTGTCGACATAAGTAGTATGTGACACTAACCGGAAGTGGAAAACCTGGCAGCAGAAAGCTAAGAAGATCGAGTTGAAGAAAATAAAAAGGGATTGTGAACTAGAAGAATCAAACAGAATGTGAAGGACAAATGATGAGAATTCGCGAAGTGTTCAGTGTATGATTCTCATATTTTAGCAAAATAATCTGTAATTTTGCGTTCAAACACAATCGGTTGTTCTCATCTGTTTTCTTATTCACCTCAACACTGCTAACTTTCACACAACAAAAGTACGATTTAAAACCAAGTACATAAACCGGTAATTAACAAATAACTTAACAAATGGCTTAAATGTAAATTATATTTGAATAGTCTCTACATTATACAACAAAAATTTATTTAAGCTAATCGTTTTGTGCAAGTTGAAGTTAGTTTCGTTATCGACTGGCATAAAAGGAAAGATTATTGAAAACCACTGGAAGACTGAAAAGATACTATACCCAAGTTTATAGGTCCACAGGAGCTGACGTTCACAACCTTATACTGAAGCAAGACTGTAAATTCACTGCTGAGGGACGACGTCAGATGTGTACCACAGATATCGTATTTGTCACTAGACTCGAGATCTCTAATGTTGATCCCTATGTGATCGTGAGTGTGGGATATACTAAACATTATAGCAAAAGTCGATTTGCCAAATATTTCATGATAATAACAGTAATAATAATAATAATAGTGGATATATAAACCAGACATTTTTTGCAATATATATATATATATATATATATATATATATATGTTAACTTCCTTTAATATTCCGTTTTTCTTTGGTGCGCTATCAAAATAAAAATATTTAAGACGCACAAAATTCCTATTATATATATATTGAAGTTTTGTTCTCTCTGAGCTGGATAGTTTGACCGTGGAGCATTCATCGTTCTTCTGAACGACATCATCAGCACAAACTTCAGCTAGAAGAGAATTGTTCCAGGTTCGAGGTTACATATGGAGCGACAGCTTAGTGTTTAGAGCCTTGGGTCCAATGGACCTGAAACGTTTTGATAATATGTTATAGGCCCTTAATAGACTATCAACTAAGGATCACATGTGCTCCCCGAATTCAATACTTACCATAACTTCTACCACAGTATTAAACGTAAATGAAAACTAGTGTTTGACCAACTATCAATATTGTCGTCCCCACATTAAAATCCTTTTGGATTGAAGACAGTTATGTACTATAGACCAAAAACAGTTGAAGATTCGACAGAAAAGTCTCACTGGCAACTGGATACGGATGTAAAGGCAGTAAAGTGAGTCCCGCAAGCAACCAGGATCTGCAGTGATCCTTTATTTATTTAAACACAAACATTAGTATAAGGGGGCACCAAAATATATATATATGCGCACGCAAATCAGTTACCGTTCAAGTTGTGTGTGAGCTGGGATACTATCCGGGTGCCTAAGCGGAAATAGGTGGCTTTCTTAGGGGTCCACACCCCGAGCCTTTGGACCCAGAGGTCTAGTCCACAAGGCAGTGGAGCAACGTTAAGAGATACAATCTCATGATAACCGGTTACCAAGATTAGGTTCACACACCATTCGTTCCTTAAGGATCCTGGAGTCAAGGTTTTCCAACCCCTAGGTGGATTCTCTGTACTCACTAACTATTCGCCCTTTCAATTTTGTGAATAATACCTCGGCCGCCAGAAGGTAGTGCGTAGAACTTCTCTGGCAGTGGCTCTATATGTGTTGCCATAAGATAGTGTTTTGATAAGACGAAAGTATTCTTGCCACTCTTGGTCGTAATAGGCCATTTGGGGGCTGCAGCGGTCCTGACTTGTTACAACGGAAGGAGGTCTTAGAACAGATCGATCCCAAAAAGTGGTACATTTCGCCTTGTCCCATAGAAGTAGGTGGTAATATGACAACTTCTGGTTTCAATTTTGACCATCATCTCTCAACGATTCACTATTAGCCTACATAAGCTAAAGATGAAATAACTATATTTCATGGCACAATCCTAGAGTAATATATGTATCACACTATATCCTATATCTCTCCACTGGATAAACTTCATGCTAGGATACAATATTCCAATCAAACATATATATAATAAAGGGCAACTTTACATCAAACAATATCAAAGTTCTATAAATTCTACATTCTACGATTAGATAAAACAGAATATCCTACTCTGGTTATGTGATAATTTATTTCCCACAGACTGAACAACACAACTCAGGCATATGAACATTACACTGTTAATCTTACCTTCATAATATTTGAAGGCATAATTAGTATACTTGAAGACTACCACAAAATAACTAAAACACCTCACTAATCTCTTTAAAGTATTTTCTACGTTCTTGATAAATAAATGCATGGTGAAGTTTTGTTTTCTATTGCTTTTTTTACACTTCTTGAAAATTATACTAGTAAACCAAGACGAAATAATGGAAACTAATCACCTCATTTATACCACAGCAGAGGCACATTTAAATACCCAGTTTAATAAACCGGCGATAACCCATGCAAAAGAGGAAACCAGAAATAATAAAGTAATTGTAGTAATAATATCTGCAAAAACAGTTTTATTATTAATAATGAGAAAAGAAACACTTATTATTCTCATTATATTATCTTTTAAAGACAGCGATAAAATAAGGAAATGAAAAGTTTTCTTTTGTAGAAACCATGTGATTTTACGGCAGAAAATAGAAATGTAGTTTATACATGAAAAGAGAGGTGATAAACAAGCAAAACATATGACATTTCCATCAGTAATAAGAAGAAGAAGAAGGAGAATAATTAAGCGAATGCTTGAAGGACATCCACATAACTCTTGTATGTATTTTTTTTTGCAAAATACATAAATATAAAGATATACTTGTTTTGCATCCGATCACATGAAACATTTCCATATAAAATAATTTCAAACGAGAAATAACTAAAAGTACTAACAACAAGCTTTATAAATAAGCTAACAAATTGAACAGATAAATTGTACAAGTCAATTGCAAGATATTTAGTCATTCTGTGATACGATTGTCAATAATCCTGATCAAAATTGATTGGTTAGAGTTGGTCATTTATACAGTCTTATGTCTTTTTAAATGATGGGTGATTACCTATTTCAAGTAAGTACGTATTCTTTTTAGAACTTAAACAGACATGGTGCACTGCAGCAGTCAAATATTTACATCGAAGTTAAAAATACATATTCACATCAAACATTTCTTTATTCAAATATATTTTTATCAGGTATTTTACAGAAAGACTAACTGGTCATAAAGAACACAGAAGCTGGAACGAATGTACATTCGTTAGGGCTGTTAGTTATCGAACCGGCACATTGAAGAAGTAAATCATTTAATGAAAAAACATATGAAGGGGAATAATAGCATTCATAGCACTCAAAAGCGAAGCATGAGAGATATATCCCGAAAGGAATGAATAAAATCGAATGATCAAAAACGTGAAATAGAGTGAACTCAAGATTTAGAGGATAGGAGGTGAATAGAACTACTCTAGCATAATCGACTGTGAACCATATAACCAAAACGTCTTTAACTAAGAATTCCGATTGTCAAGCGGAATTCAACCTGAAGGTTTACACTTATTATGCTCTATCCAATAACCAATAAATTCATGAACTGATATTAAATCTTCAAACGGCCACCCATAACTCCATTCCATCCAATAAGAATATTAAATACTATTAATTATTGTGGTAGGTGGTGGCTAGGCATGCGTAAATCAATTGGTCATAGGTATCACGACGGATAACAGGCGTGCGTAAGTAACCATGACACCTAGCACAAATGGGCACGGGTCCTAACAAACACAGTGAAGTAAAGTCAGAGAAATAGTTGGAAATCTAAATAAGTAAAACAACAGTGTCAATCATAGTAAGAATCTAACGCATTCATTCGTATTTACACAAACATTAGTGTACTAGGAACCTGAACTACATAAACCAAGTGTTTCTTAACCACTTACACTAAACCAGACGTACCGAAATTCAAAATTACGTTGCATCATAGCATACATCTTTCCAAGCTTCAATTCTATGATTCTAAAGCTGATTTTATCAACAAATAACTACGACAGTTTAGATTAACAAAACTGTTGTTGTTCGAAGATAAAATTCATCCCGAACTGACGTTTTTCTGGAGAATCATTGAGAATCCGGAGGAAATTGAAACCGTAGTGCTCAACACATGAGTTAGACAGACCGTCGATAACTTTATATGAGAATCACATAAAAACTCGAACCGACTGAAGTTCGAAATGTAGATTACTGAATTATTAGCTAGGAATGATTTTTTATTTCATATTAGTCTGTGATGACCATAACTTCTGGCATCAATCAGTCAGCTACAACGCAGAACCAGGCACATGCATCGTCTGAAGTTGCCACTTCATTAGCACAACAAGATGAACACCAAATTCATAGAAGTAATTACTTCAATGATACTAATATATGAAAGAGAGATTGCAATAAGGTTATAGTACAGGAAGAAAGAATTAGTCCGTAGAAAGAAAGGTATAAAGCAAGTATAATCCCGAGATTTAAGGGAAGACAAAGAGTATACGCCCACGCCATTGTGACTGATTCTCAGCCATGTCATCCAGAGCCTCCAACCGTTGGTCATGATTGTCGCGCGGACCCCAACCAAGTGGTCTGTATTCACCAAAATGGCTCAGATTAGGAGTTAGTGACATTATGAACTGGTGCCACGTTTTGGTTTGTCCGCCCCCAACTTACTTCCAACCGTCCTCAATACTAGTCAGCGTTGCGCGTCGTGGTAATAGGTGTTCAGGAATACGTAACACGTGGCCCAACCATCTCAGTCGATGAAGATTAACCATCACTACCTAAGACCTTGCGTCTAACCTCACTATTACTTACCCGGTGATCCCAGAAGACACAAGCAATATTTCTAAGACATCTCCGACCACATACCAGTAACTTACGAGTATCTTCTACCATTAATGACCACGTTTCATAGCCGCAAAGTAGACCAGAACGAACTGATGTAGAGATATCTCGCCCTCGCCGTAAGTGACGTAAGCCGGCAAGACCGAAACGATCTCTCTGAATATGTGCTGAAATTTCACCAGACACCAACCCATTGGGGCTGATCAAACTTCCAAGATAAGTGAAGTTGTCGACGCGTTCGACCACTTCACTCCATATCCTTAGTTCAGGTGTTGATGCAGGCCAGTTCTAAAGCAACAACTTGCACCTAGAGAGGAAGAAACGCACCCCAAACATAGCTCAGTGCTAACAAAAGACTCGGTATTTTATCAGCGTCTTCACTAAACAGGACCATGTCATCTGCGTATTCTAAGTCGATAAGTGAACCTCCTGGAAGGAGGTTTTACAAAGATCGATCAATGTTGTGTCCACCAAATCCTGGTTCATTCGCATCAATCATTCACAAAATGATCACTTGCTGGTCCATGTTCAAATTCAACAAATATTGATTTCCCTAGGGCAGGAAGTGTACTTTACTGACGAGTCCAGATAACACGAAGCTTAGATCCAATGACCCATGCTAATCGCTTCCAACCAACTAATCCATACACAATCCCCATAAGACTATTAAATGCAATTAAACTCCAAAGGCCAAATTAATCACAACGCATTAGTAACAGGTGTAATAAGTGGTCAATGATCATTTATCGCCAAATATATACAAAGTATACTACTTAACTTTAGAATCGACGTCAGGCACATAAAGACTGACTACATTTTAGTCCCAAAGTTATATACTGGCTTGAATAATCTGAGGCCTTTTAGAGCGTGCCAATTTTAAGAAAAATCAAGGCGCTGAAGTACAGCATAGCTGTATGTACACAGCATGTTCAAATAGCATCGATGTACATTATGGCTCACGAGCACACAAACAAACTTCCCCTAACTCCGATGCAACACGCTTGACAATTGGATTAGGTAACTACAATAGTTTACGAAACACATGTGTATAGAAAGTTTTGAGCGAGAAATAATGATATGTCACACATTTTGTACTCAGAATTGTGGTTAAAAGGTTTTAGTTTGATTCTACTTGCAATTACTAATCATTATTCTGTTAACAAACTAATTATTCATTTAGAAATGTTTTACGCCAGGACAATACTTAGCAGGTGTATGTATTAAACTAGATTCAGTCGGTCAATAATGATCTCGACCATTTAGTTCCCTATCGATTTCCAAGGCCGAGTACACAGTATTTCTATCAGCATGAACTGGTACCAAGTTTTGCTTGGGCTTTCTCGATGACGAATTTCTATCAGTCAACAGATCTTATCGGTTTAAATTACCAAAGGAGCATCAGTTTTCCCTAGATCACAAGTAAATGTGACTGACGAGTTCGAAGAACTGAAAAACAATGAAATTTGTTGAAAATACACACGTACTAAATGCCTACAGCAACGCACTTAATAGCGTATAAATATGGGTACAATGAATGGTTTTAAAGAACACCATAGTAATAGCAGCAGCAGCAACAAACTGATAATGTTACATAAACAGAACTTTAAAAACCCGTAATTATGAAAATTATTCGTAAAAGTTAGATAAGTACTCACCCGACCTGGCAAACCAGTATCCATATTGGGATCATAATCAAAAAGAGCCCGGACATACATTGTTTTCTTAGTAGTTGTAGTTAGACGTGGTGGACAAGATGAGGACACATTAATAAACAATTCAGTCGGAGAATTACAGAAAGGCACAGATGAAGAACTATTGGTATGTGAGTCAGTTGAGTTATTTAGTCGTGTCATGATAGTTTGGGAATTGTCTGAAATAAAGGTATCCGTACCATTTAACGGTACATCAGAAGTTGTTGGTAGGATATGTTTGGAGTTGGGGGCAGAATTAGGTGAGTGGAACACATTCATTGGTGATTGCAAATAATAAGGTAAATTCCAAGGAATATCCACAGTATATTATCCATATGAAATCTTGTTTATCGCCTCAGTTAAACAGGACTAATTACAAAAGGAAAAATAGATACAATAATAATTTATTTTTTAATAGAATGAGGGAAAAATGAAAACGTTTAACTCCGACGGGCCTTCTTAAAAACATGGGTAAAATTATATCCTCTAGCCTAGATTAGAAGACAGTTTGCAGGAGAAGCTAATAGATATTTTCAAACGGTTGAGTAATCCTTAGCATACGTAATCATTTTGTGGTCAAGTTTAGGGACGAGCAATTGTCAGACCATTTCGTTTGGATAGAGAATACAAATCAAAACTGGTTTTCTACTACAGATAGTGGTAGCATAATAAAGGACAGTTTGGTTACAACCCCAAGAAAAACGTCACAATCTTGGAAGCATCATTAATGGGTAAGGGAGAAAGCAGAGGTAGTGTCTTCAAAATTAATGAAAGTACATAAAAATGAACAAACCGGTAGACGTATAATCGTACTATGAGTCAAAATGACCAGACTACGTGAGATGTGAAAACGACAAAGCGCAACATCAAAGCGTACAAACCAATGACAAACACCAAACAACCTAATTCACATTGATAGTATGAAGATATTAAACATGTGCAAATAATGAATTCCAACCCCATGAAATAGACTTTTAACATACAAACCGGGATACAATTATAGAGAATTCAGACGTAAACTCATCTAAATAGGTTGAGGTCCCTCACAAACAAAACCCAACGCAGGAGTATGAAAAAATCAGCAGCTTATTAATAAAGAATTGACACTATCAAATGCTCTGTAACTCGCAATATTAAATTCATATTCAAAATAAATTTCACAGTGACAGCTGACGAGTAACTACCCTAAGTTAAAAAGACCCAAAGTGATTGGAGTTTTCCTACAATTGTTTTTTAAGGAATAACAACAGAACACTTACAAACATAAAAACTCACCAATAGTCGCAACCATGCCAAAACAAACGTTCAGCTTCCAAGGTCAGCCGGGTTTTTTTAATTACCCGGAGAATTGCGTTTGAGGTCACATAAAACATACAATGAACAATATCTTTTTCAGACTGACTAACTGAAAATAACTTATTCCTGGTATGAGTTAGAAGTCATCTACCAGCATTTCTATGAATTCAAGGTGTTATGTCGAAATTTTTTGAAATGGTTATCGATATGCAATTAGGTTCAAATGGTTCAAATGGTTCAAATGGTTGTGGACGGAATAGAAGAAGCTTTCGCTTAACAGGCTTCCGTGTCTAGTAGCAGGGGATCACCAAATCCTCCAGGCAGGAACCTAGGTATGTTAACAATAAAAGAGGAAAAGAAATTGGTAAATCATAGTGCGATGCTGTCCTTGGTCCTTAAGAATCGGTCAAGTTGCCTCTTGAAGGACTCCTGAGAAGTCGCTTGGACTAGCTCGGCCGGCAGCGAGTTCCAGCTTTTGACAACTCTTAAGGAGTAGAAGTTGTGTCTACATTCCGTCTTGCTATGTTGTGTTTCCAGTTTCTGAGTGTTACCCCTTAGGTTATTGTTCGAACTAAGCTTAAGTAGGTGTTTAAGAGGATGTCCAGAAGTGTTAAGAATACTATAAGCCATTAATAAATCACCTCTAAGACGCCTATATTCTAGTGGGTAAAGGTCTAGTGAACGGAGGCGTTCTTCGTAAGGCTTAGATTTAAGTCCTCGAACTGATTTCGTGGCTCGCCGTTGGATACGCTCCAAAGTGACCTTATCCTTTTGGAGTGAGGGGGGGAGTATTATGTTTCCGTACTCTAAATGGGGACGGATGAAACTATTGAAGATTGTGTGAAAAGTTCTTCCGTCAAACTGACCAAAAATGCGCCTCAACGTTACCAGTGCAAGGTTTGCTCGGAAGGCATTTTTGTAACAGTTAGCGTAAGACTTTAAGTCATGGGGCACCAGGACTCCTAAATCTTTTTCGACTTGGGATACTACTAGAGAGGAGTTTCCTAAGTTGTAACTGTAGTTTGCGACATGTCGCAGATGGACTACTTTACACTTTGAAGTGTTAAAGGTAAGTCCATTATCGTCTGCCCAACTTTGAAGTCGAGTCAGATCCTCTTGAAGTGCCTGTATATCGTCTTGGTTGCGTATCTCTCTCCAAAGTTTCACGTCGTCGGCAAAAAGTAATAAGTCTGACGTTACCTGTTGAGGAAGATCATTTATGTAGACCAAGAAGAGAAGAGGCCCTAGTACTGAGCCCTGGGGGACCCCACTAGGACATTCCATAGCTTGAGATAAAGTGAAATTAACCCTAACCTTAAAGTGTCGATTTTTTAGGTATGAAGTAAGCCAGTCGATTAGAGGTGGTTTGATACCTAGTCGTTTGAGCTTGTTGATAAGACACAAGTGGTTAACCTTATCAAAAGCTTTTGAGAAATCAAGGTAAATGACATCAACCTTTCCCTTGCGATCGAGGATGCTTGTCCATCTGTCCACCGCAGTCAGCAGGTTGGTTATACAAGAGTAACCCTTCCTGAAACCATGCTGTTGGGGTGAGAAGAAATTTAAGGACAGTAGGTAGTCATTTAGACCGTCGCATATCAGGGACTCCATGAGTTTTGAAGGTAACGACAGAAGAGCTACCGGCCGGTAACTTGAAGGTTCATTGCGTCGACCACCTTTGAAAATTGGTGTGATGTGAGCCAACTTCCAATTTTCCGGTAGTTTGCCTCGGCTAAGCGAGTGTGAAAACATCACGCTAAGCGGCGTTGCCAGGATTGAGGCTGCCTCCCTCAGTATGGCAGGATGAACCATATCCGGGCCAGGAGAAGTGTCAAGTCTTAAGTGCTGCAGTTTCCGGAGCACCAAGTCAGCGCTTAGGTCCACTTCAGAAAGTCCTGTGGAATTGCAGATGAAACTGTCGTCGATAAAGTTGATATCAGCCGGTTGAAATGTTTGAGAGTAATGGGCCGCCAGAAGGTTGGCGGCGTCGCCATCGTTGTTGGTCGGGCCGTTAGGTCCTAGCAGTTGAGAAACTCCTGTTTTGGCTTGACGAAGAGAGGCTGCATAACGGAATAGGCTTCTAGGGTTAGAGGCGAATTTGTCCATAAGCTTTGTTTGGTACTGAAGCCTGTCTTCTCTTATAGCCTTCGTGCATGTGTTCCTGATATGTTTGTATTGCCTATACGCTCCATCGTTATTAGTTCGTTTGTATTCCGCCCAACAGTGCCTTTTGCGGCTTAGCAGGCGAAGGGTACGGTTCTTGATTACTGTAGGTGGCTTGAAGCTTTTGGGAACCGTTTGAGGAACTGAATGGTCTGTAGCACGTAAGAGCGTGTGCAGCAAGAAGTCCCAATGACCATCCACATCGATTTGAGGGTGAACATCCCAAGCCACCTGTTGTAGATGGTCATGTAGAGCTCGCACATTCAGCCGTTTAAAATTCCATCGCAAATTATTGTTGGGATACCTTAGCTTAGTTTTGATGACAAAACTGAAGGCTATGACGGCATGATCGCTTTTTCCCAGAGGAGCCTGGATTGAGAGGTTGTCGACTAGGAATTCTTCGTTAGTGAATACACAGTCTAAGCGCGATGGTGTCTGACTGTTTCTCCAACGAGTTGCCGACCTCACATTTTCATATAAGCCCAAGTTATCGATGAGGTTGAAGAACCGAGCTTCAGTTGAGTTGTCGCCTCCAGTGTACGTGTGTTCCGCGAAGTTGACTCTAGGGAGATTAAAGTCCCCTAGAATCAGGATGTGTGTGAAACCGAGACGGATAGAGCGGGATAGTCCTTCCAGCATACGACTATCGTACTCGGTGTCGGCAGTTGGCTTCCTGTAAATGACTCCGACTAGACACCTGGAAGTACTAGACAACCTTACAGAGCACCATATGGATTCCTCAAGATTGTTAAACTCGAGGTTGTGAACCTGGTGCACCTCCAGGCAAGAGCTAATGTATATGGCTACTCCGCCCCCAATTCCTATTTTTCTGTCGTTGCGGAACAAAGTCATCCCAGGCAATGCTAACTCTTGATCCGAGAACTGAGAAGATATCCAGGTTTCAGATATTCCTATCAGATGGGCCTTGCTAGCGTTGCTAAGTTCACGTAGTTCATCCAGTTTGTTTGGTAAACTCGCGGCGTTCGTATATAAGCAGTTTATGCTTTCAATTTGGAACGCATGAGCTTCGTCCTGTTTTTCTGTATGAACCTTATGTGAATGGACAGGTAGCCCACCTATATGAGGTTTGCCGAGGTGGTAGGCCCTGTCCTTTACACGTTTTTTTTATCGTTTAGACAGTCCACAAGTGGAATGGTCAGCTCCAGCTTGCCTTTGTTCTTGGTCCTGACTTCGTATGGCCTATCCGGGTGCATGTGGATTCCAGGTGGCAATCGACGTCTATTAGCACGAAATGCTTCCAGAACTGCAGCCGCCATGTGGGAAGATGGGAAGGTTATCTTCATTAGACGGGGTCTAAGATCGCCGTCCTTCTTGGCTAGTCTCGTCACATGCTGAGTCAGTATGTGTTTGAGCCTCAAGGACTGTTTGATGAATTTCCATTCCCTGATGTCAGAATTTGATTGAGTAGGGTCTGCATTTTCCGGTATACCTTGGACAATTATGTTTCTTCCGCGGAAGAACTTCTCGCGAGATTCTTTAGGGACGTTTCGTATGATATTGCGCTCAGAGTACGGTATGTCGGGCAATATTCTTACGTTACCATCTGATTTCAGTAAGTGACTTGCTAGCAAGACGTCCTCTACGTCGGTAGCATTCTTAAGTGTTACTCGGAGAAGCCTCGGGTGATTTAGATGCTTAGAATCCTTTCCTCGAGTGAGCCGGGTGACCGTCAAAGGCTCTATTCTAGGAAGTTCGAGCTTTTTGTTCAATTCACCCCACAGCATCCTGTCGTTTTTATCCTGCAGACTGAGAGGAAGGTCAGGATTGTCGACGAGGTTCATGATAATGAGAGAATCGTC